TGGGAGAGGTGTGAATTTCTCAAAATGGGCTCATTGAGTGCAGCACGGATAAGATCTTGGAGAAGCTTACGGCTGCTGTGAATACTCAGAATAAGATCTCTAACTGCAGACTGGATACATGTCGGAAGGGCTAGCTTGGAATAACATCTCTGGGCACAAATTGGATGATTGGATTGTTTAGCTCCAATTCACAGCCCGTTCTGCCAGACGTTAGTCTGTTTGCATCTGTAATAACTTTGAATAAGTCAGCTTCAGTTAAATGACTCTGAGCATCTTTAATCAAATGCACTTTAATGAACACTGGGCTGCTTTCTCATCGTGTCAGGTATGTTATGCATATGTTTGTTTTGGTTTATTTGATAATCTCACACATTCATTATCTGGTATTCTAATAAACAAAATGATGATAATTGAATAAAGACAACACTTTTTAAAGTTGAACATTTCTAATGATAAATATGTTTGATAGTTTTGTTTGAATCATTAGATTAGGATAGAAATGGAGTGAATGACAGAGACATCTGCCTCTTTGTTGATGCTGGTTTAAGTGTTATGATTAATAATGATAGAGCAGCTGCAGATGAGATTCATGAGGACGTTCTTCACAATTTTTCAGCTCTCAGCCATGAAGGGGTGTGGACTGATCCTCCTGCTGCTCTCAGGTCTGTAAACTCATCTCAGTCGCCTCATTTATAGTTTGAATAAAACTTTTGATATCAGAAAATCAAAGAAAGCACAAACTGAACTGCTCCATAGTGATTATTTTAAAGGTGTCTGTAAACAAGCTTCAAGCAGTCACAGAAACACTCGTACAATCTCCAAAGATCTTTGTCATGTCAACTAAACCCAGAAATGGGCGGGGAGCACAGAGGTGTGGATTGGACTCTCCAAGAGCGGCTGGAAATGGTCTCGCCTCGGTCCAGTTCAGTCATCCTGGTTTCATTCCTGGTCCCCGGGACAGCCAGGGACTGGGGAGTGTGTTACAATATCTAGTGATGGATCATGGTCCACAAGACAGTGCTCAGAAAAACATAGCTTTTTCTGCTTTAATGGTGAATGTTTTGAACTTTGGAACCAGGGTTTGACAAACTGAACATTTGAGCTGCAGGTCTGAATCCGTCTGATCTTTTTTCTTTCAGGCATGAGTGGCATTATCGTCCCGGTGTCGACCTTGATGACCTGGCCTGATGCTCAGTCTTACTGCAGACAGACATACATAGACCTGAGCAGCATGATTGATTCAAATGTAAACACCATGGCCACTAACATGTTGACATCTTCTAATCAAGCCTGGATTGGACTGTATAGAAATTACTGGACGTGGTCAAACTCGAGCACAGCCTCAAACCTGCCGTGGGCGCCTGGGCAGCCTGATGACACTCAAAACTGTGCCACAATGAATGCATCAACGGGCTCCTTCTACAGTCATAATTGTAATGAACAACGCCCCTTCCTCTGCTCCAGAGGTGAGTCTGTCCTCTGTGTTTCTGCACGGTCTGGTCCTCCTGGGCTCATCTGGACACTCTTGGCACAACACTGTTGATCCTTTGGGTGGCGCTGTCATTTGGTGTTTGCTCTCTCTGTGGTAGAGTATCACTTCCTGTTCCTGTTCCAACACAGGAACAGGAAGTAGTAGTTGAATAGCTTATCTGCATACCAATTTAATTAAAAACCTTTAGATAACTTCTGTTTTCATAGTA